GAGTCTCGAGCCAGTGGCCTTGAGCCAAAATGGCTTGAGCCGTAGCCAAACCCTAAACCCAAAACCCTAAACCTAAACCCTAAGCCCTAAACCCTAAACCCTAAAGCCAAGGTGCAGGGTGCCCAGGCGGTGGGCGTTGCAAACCGCGCGCCAGAGCGGCTCGGGGGCTTCGGAGCCGGCCTGACGAGATATCTCTCATGGGGTTTTATGTTCATTTTTTTAGGGTTTAGGGTTTAGGGTTTATAGGGTTTCAGCACTCACTCTCGGACATGCCTAGGCGAGGTTCCTGGTACACGACGATTTGCACTTTGGCACCAGGAATGGCACTTATCACCATCCCTAAAACATTACATAGGGTTTAGGGGCTTAGGGTTTAGGGGTTTATGTTCATGTTTTTAAGTTTTTTTCCGCCTCTTTTTTGGGGTTTGGGCTTTAGGGGTTTACACTCTCACAACTCGGACAATCCAGGCTTTAGGGGTTTCGGGTTTAGGGGTTAGGTAATTGAGGTTCAGGGTTTTTTGACACTCGCACTCGGACAAGCCTGGCAAGGTCTGCAGCAAGACTGTTCCAACGACACATAGGGTTTTGGGCTTCGGGGTTTAGGATGGTTTAAGGGTTTTGGGGATTAGGGCTCAAGATCTAGACTCTAAACCTGACACCTGCACCCTAAACCCTTAAAGAAAACCTTACGGAAGCCGACACCCAGGGCACCTGGTTCCTGGCAGCCGCCCCGACCGCTTCCAAGCGCTCCACGGGTGCCTCAGGGGCCACCTGAGGCCACGGCTTTGAGGTTTAGGGTTTAGGGTTGGGGCTTAGGATTTAAGGTTTAGGGTTTAGGGTTGAGGGTTTAGGGTTTAGGGTTTATAAGGTTTCGGGTCTCGGGGTTTAACTTTAAGTTGCGGGTTTAGGGCCTAGGGGTTTTACACATGGGTAGTTGTCAAGATGACAGTCTTTCTGGGGGGCGCCCTATAGTTTGGGAACCCAAAAGAGACCGTGACAGTTACCCACAGGCCCATAAAGTTCCTTCAGCGGTTCCCTTTAAAAGGGGTCTATGAATTCTATAAGCGGTAGTTCTAAGGATTCTAAGGGTTTGAAGGGGCTCTTAGAAGGCTTTCTTTGCTTCGGGACTCCGTGGATTTGCCCGTGGCACAGCCGCTTTGCTTGCAGCAGCCATGCCAAGAAAACCAACTCACCCAATTCGATTCCCAACAAGGCGGCGGAGGCCGACAAAAACATACATAACAAACATGGTTGCCATAAAGGGCTTGTATATAGGTTTTATTACAGGTGTATAGGTATTTTGAGGTTTAGGGTATGAGGGTTTTAGGCTTTGGGGGGGGGGGGGGGTTATAAAGCATTTTCTGGATTTTAAACGAATTATTTGAGAGGTCCTATGCAGGGTCTTTTGGGGTTGCAACAGGGTTCAAGAAGCGTTCTAATCTGATAGGCTTTCATGAAAGGCTTTACAAAGCTTCTTCAGGAGTAATCCCAAAAGGCACTAATCGGCAGACCCAATCCCCGCCACTCAGAAGGAGCCAGGTGGCAGTGCCCCAGGCGAAGAGCGTCTTGAAGGCCTCTGCTCTGCATCCGAGAGTGGGTGGGGGGCGGGGCCATAATCGAAATTGAAATAGCGAATATGATATGGTATGTTAGGGTTGACGCTCTCGCAACTCGGGCATGCCAGACGAGGTCTTTGGTTCGACTACTCACAGCGACGAGGCAACCACAGGCTATGTTAGGGTTTAGTTCAGGGTTTTGGGTCTTAGCAGTCTTAGCGTTTAGACTATGTTACAGTAAACGGGAGTTTCGAGACTTCAGTGTTCGGTGCTACTGTCAGGCCCGACCAAAAAATGGATGCCTACCTCAGCCACGAGGTAAAGGCTTGAAGCTCGAACAAATGTCGGGGCCTTAATCGTTAGAAGAGGGTTTTGGGGTACTGCAGTATTCTATGCTACTATCGAAATTTAGCAGTTCTTCATGCAGGAAGCCCATGCAATCCTGCTGCCCCAAGGCCATTTGTCACTTGCCGAAAGAGGCCCCCATCATTTCGATCCCAAAGAGCTCCATGTTTCATCCAAAAAAACTCCATGTTTCATCCCAAAGAGCTCCATGTTGTAAACAGCTATCTAACATCCCCACAAGCCATTGCTGAGCAAGGGTTTAAAAAAGATCCCTAAACCCTAAGTATGCTTTCACAGAGCCCTTATGGTCCTTAATAGTGGTGTTTCAGGTATATTAGAGGGTGTATATATAATTTATGAATATATATATATATATATGTGCATGTAGATATATATATATATATACATATAGGGCCCGAGTCGCCTGTAGCCAGGAACCTCGAGGCCCCAGTGCCCAAATGCCATGGCCCAGATGGGAAGTGTGGGCACGCCATGACAACAAGAAGTTTCTCAAGAGCGACGGGTTCAGCCAGGACCTCCTAGAAGAGA